CTTGCATTGTTCCAGAGTCAACTCTTGTTAACTCATAGGTGATACAGAGAAATGGAGAATCCAGGCCTTCGGAACAAAATGCCTGCCTCCATCCTAGGTGAAGAAGAAAATTTATTTATTTTGGATAGCTCAACACCAATGAAAATAAACCACAAAGTATTTCTCAATAAGTGATACTACATATTAAATTGTTACTGAATTGCCCACTTTCAGTTATTAACATTTTTGATCACACATGTAGGTTGAATATATAAATAAAATATATTTAGAGATGCCAAAGAATGAGTGGGCTTCAGTATCTTCTTGGTGTGATGGCCAGCACCTGGTCTCCCCTGTTTACTACCTAGGAGACCCAGGGTAGTTCTGTTACCGTAGATAACGGGATTCAGAGGCAGCTCCTCTCTTCCAGATTCTCATGCATATACTCAGGCTATAGAACTTTGGAATTCATAGGTTCCTCGGGGATCAGTTTAAATGATTGAAGGAAAGTCCATGTATTATGAGCCCCTTAGAGATATTTCTAAACAGCAAAATGCATAGTCATTCCACTACAGGACAGTTTTCCCCAACCCCACCACTTTTACTATAGGTCCTATGTATGTAGGGCTTATTTTTAAATCATTTCTCTACTCTTTCCATCTACCTGCCTTGCAAATGTTTCCATATTCTACTCATTAAATTAGAAGAAATGTTCCAGACATTCTAAGACTGTAAGATTTCTTTCCTGGCCAAATTCCCTTCTGGCAAGACTGCTGTATATGTTAGTATATAAGAATGTGCACTGCACAAGTTCATGGTGTGTCATTCATATGGTCATTAATGGGGAATGTCCCCCCCTGGAGTTGTGCAGAGTTCAACTTACACAGCTGTACCTGTTTCCATTCTTCTTGGCAACAGCCTTAGACCTAAGAATAAGGACAGTGACTTCACCAATGAATATATGGGAAGCTCCTGCTTACCCTTCTATAATGTACATACACAAAGTCTTTGACGTAGGTACATTGCAACACCTAACCATTTTCCTTTTTTATTAAAAAATTCTTAATTCCTCTTCGATGTCTTCAGGATTAACTCTGTTACCAGTGGATTCTACAAGTGTGAACGAATCTTATCAGAATCATGCAGATAAGTTTAAACAATAAAGATTCCTACAGCCCCAGATTGAAGATTCTGGCTTGAGGGATGTGGGGTGGGACCCAGGAGTCAGTACTTTAGAATGCAGCCCCTCCCCCCGCTCCATGCTCCATCCTACCTGGGTAATTTGGAGGCACAGCCGTTTGGGAAACACCCATCTATCTCCACCATGGACTGCAAAGCTTCACCACTGGGCATGCAGACTGGGAGATGGGAGCAGCACTAAATAAAGGAATCTGCAGCAATGTGGATGGGTTCCGGTGTCCTCACCCATACCCTAACATGTGATATTGTCAATAAAAAAATACAGACTGCAATTCTGGGAAGATGGAGTATATAAATTTTCTCCTGTTCCTTCTCACTAAGTACAACTAAATACTCAACGTTATATAAAAAACATAAGATGACTCTGAGAGCTGAAGAAAGGCAGGAGGACCAGCCAGGGCCCTCGGGACCTAAAGAGCCAAAACAGTGGTGAGTTCCCAGGGTTTTCTTTTCACCTTGCACATCCCAGACTGGTCACTGCCTAAGCTGGCAATCCAGAAATGCCAATGGGCTCAGACAGAAAAAAAGTCAACAGAAGCCTGCTTTCTCTAGCCAAAGAACCAGGAAAGAACAATCTAACAAAAGAAAACTTTCAGAAAGTAATAGCTTGTTATAGTATAACAGGAAGTGACTAGTAATTTCCCTTTAAATATTTTTATAATTTGATTATGTTTTGAAAATATAGTGTGAAAGCATCCTCATCTTAAAATGAAAACAAGAGATTCTAGGACTTCTGGTCTAGATGGAGGAGTGGGTAAACACGGCTCACATCCTGGTACAACCACATCAAAATTACAACTAAACTATAGCACAGCTATCACCCAGGACCATCAGAAATCGAGTTGAATAGAAGTCTAATAACTAGGGAATTAAAGAAACCACATCCATCCAGACTGGTAGGAGGGACGGAGATGCAGATGCTGAATGGGTTGGTCCCACATCCATGTATGATGGATAAAAATTCAGGAGGGATATCTTGGGAGTGAGGAGTCCCAGCCCCACACCAGGTCCAGGGTCAGGAAGATAAGTTCCCATTTCTTGCTGCAAAAACCAATGGTTGTTGAGTTCTAATCAGTTCCTCTTAAAGAGCCCACACATGGACTCACCTACTCCCTCTGAGCTCCTGCTTCAGGGTAGCAGCTTGAAAGGCACCAGTGTCATACAGGGAGGAACTGAAGTGTCTGGCATCAGAGTGAGAGCTGGGTGACAGCTCTCTTCTGGCCGAAAGGTGGGCAGAGGCCATTGTTCTTTTTCTGAGTCCTCCCCCCACAGAGTCTCAGAGCTGGCAGACAGGGGCCTGAGACTCCTCTATCAACCTGGCTTACACTGTTTGCCCCACCCTGAAAGCCCCTGAATCTTCACTCCACCCAATTTATGAGCCCACCCAAGCTGTTAACAGTGGCTCTTCCATATGAATGGTTGGTTTTGGCTCATGCTTCACAACTTCCTAAATTCGCTCAAACAAACAACAGCTGGCATCAGCAAGTCCCCAGCCCCTGTACCTCTTGCTAAGAGGCCCCAGGCTCAGCACTAGTAGCAGACAACCTAGATTTGTGGCTTGGCTTCACTTGGGAACTTCCATGTCCAGCACAAGTAGTGACCATCTGCAGATTGCTTTGTAGCTCATGCAGAATGGCCCCAGGCAGAACACAGGTAGGGACTGATCTTGGCCTGCACCACCTGGGAAACCCCAAGGCCAGTGCACCCAGTAGACAGCTACAGACCATCTGAAGCACCACCAACTGCTCCCTGCACGATCCTCCATGGATGGCAGAGACTGATGGTCAGTTGTTACAGTCAGTCCTTGCAGCTTCCTGGCTTGATTAAATGGCCCCCCCCATTGACTAGCCAACAGCAATCAAGGATCAACTATAGGAGGAGTGTATACTAAGCCCACGTGAAGGGTGCATTTTGAATACCCAGCTTGGGTAATAGGGTCCTGTGCCACTGGACCCTACAGGACACCAAATACATTAAGCCACGCTACCAAGACATGGAATCATAGCAGCTTTACCTAATACACAGAAAAAAACACAGGGAGGCTGTCAAAATGAGGAGACAAAGGAACATGGACCAAGTGAAAGAACAGATCAAAACTCCAGAAAAAGAACTCAACAAAATGGATAAAAGCAATCTATCAGATGCAGAGTTCAAAACACAAGGACCTCAGTGGCATAAAAAAAGTCCAGTCAGAAGCAAAGGATGCACTAATTGAAATAAAGAAAAATTTACAGGGAAACAACAGTAGAGTGGATGAAGCTGAGAATTAAATCAATGACTTGGAATATAAGAAAGCAAAAACCACCTTTGAGAACAAGAATGAGAAAGAATTCCAAAAAACAAGGATAGTGTAAGCAGCCTCTGGGACAACATCAAAAGATCCAACTTTCTCATCATAAGGGTGCCAGAAGAAGAGAAAGAGCAAGAAATTGGAAATCTATTTGCAAAAATAATGAAAGAAAACTTCCCTCATTTGGTGAAGGAAATAGACATGCAAGTCCAGGAAGCACAGAGTCTCAAACAAGATGGGTGCAAAGAGGCCTATTCCAAGACATACCATCATAAAAAAGCCAAAGATTAAAGAAAAAGAATCTTAAAAGCAGCAAGAGAAAAGAAATTAGTTACCTACAGAGGAGTTTCCATAAGACTTGTCAGTTGATTTCTCAAAAGAAACTTTGCAGGCTAGAAGGGACTGGCAACAAATATTCGAAGTCACAAAAAGCAGGAAGCTACAGCCAAGATTACTCTACCAGCAAAGCTATCATTTAGAATCTAAGGGCAAATAAAGAGCTTCCCAGATAAGAAAAAAAACTAAGGGATTTCATCATCACCAAATCATTATTATATAAAATGTTAAAGGGACTTAATAAAAAGATAAAAACTATGAATAACAAAATGGCAATAAATACATATCAACAATCTAAAAAACAAATAGAATCATGGGTATGATGAAGAGTGTTTTGATGTTTGCCAGATGTGAGGCAGGTTTGAGAGGGAATGAGTAAAAAGGTGAGGTAATTAAGAAGTACAAATTTACAGTTAGAGAAGAGCCATGGAATGTGAAGTACAGTATTGGGAATAAAACAGCCAAAGAACTTACATGCTGGACCCATGGGCAGGGACAATGGTGTGGGGATGGCCTGGAGTAGGGGGTGCTGGGTGGAGGTGGCAAAGGGGAAAAACTGGGACAGCTGTAATAGCATAATCAATATATTAAAAATAAAAAATGGAAAGAAATGAGAAATAGTAACATATATGCACTTCCACATTTTTCATTTAGCTTGATCCTGTCAAAACTCCTATAGTAAATGTTACAACTATTACAAGAAAGAAATGGAAGCCCTTGGAAATTAAGTGACTTGCTCAATGACCTCCAACTTCTGTGCAGCAGTCAGAGCTCAGACCCAAGCTTTCTGGTTCCTCGCAATTTTCTACAGGGCATGTGTTCTTTTAAGATCCTGTGTCTTATCATTTCTGAATAGGTTTAGTGAAAAACTGTGCTCATTGTTTTATGAAGACTGTGCCAACAACAATCTCTGGTTTATAAGAATAAAGGGGAAGATGGTTCAGATATTTTGTCCTGAACAAAAAGGCATCAGTTGTTTCAATCGCAGGTCAAGAGAAAAAAAAGCAATTCGTCACCATACTCCACGGCTATAGGAAAACTCTGACATGTATTTAAAGGCTGAAGGTTTAGAAGTTAAAAATAAGGGAAACACTGTTTATTTTTATTCAAATATTCCTAATGTTCAGGTTCTCTTGAAAGGGTATTATAGTTCTCTTATTTTGCTCAAGTAGAAATTAAAACTTAATTAAAAAGATGCATTAAACATCAGAATTTTATTTTTGTAATGAATTTCTGTGATTTAATAGATGGTAATGAATAAGCATTATACACAGCTATTTTTAAAAAAGTATATTTGTAAGACAAGTATCTCTAAAACACAGGAGAAAATTAAGTCTTGCTTTTCTGAATGTCTGATACACTCAACAAACTAAAATACTCTTATAAAGAGCAGCTTTATAAATAATTATTGGGAACATTATTCTATCAAAGACACGTGAGAATCAGATCTTAGTCATCTTCCGGGAAGACAGCAGCACTGAGGCCTGGACTGTCATCGTTTTCAAGTTCTTTATCATTTTCTTCAGTAACACATCTGTCACATGCTTTTTCTCGGTTTCTTTTTTTCTTATGAGAATATGCATTAGTTTTCTCATTGACTTTCTCTTTGGGATAGGACTTAATAATAGTTTGTCTTTCCAAAGCATGTTGTAGGCAGTTGTAAAACCTGTAAAGAAATAAGTACTACTGTTATATCAGTGTTTTGAAACTTAATGAAATACACCCAGAACTTGCAAATTATATAAAATCGATGTCTTCTAGTAACCTTAAAATTTGAAATGAATCAAACAAATAGGATGATTCTTGTTTTTACTATTGTTTAATTAGGAGGAAAAGTTTGCTTTCAGTTAAGAACAGTCCTGAAAAAGGGTTGGAATCACCACTTGACAATTTCTATTGTACTTCGATTTCTATTCCAAATGTAAGTGTCAAACAAAGTAAAAAAAAAGTTGTCTTTATAAAAAACCATGTATGTAATAGAAACTCATTTTAGAGGATTCAGAAAATATACAAAGTTATAAATATAGATCCTCCATAAAACTACCTAGAAATAGTCACTCAATATTTTTATTCTTTCCAGTTTATTAATGTATTCTGAATTAATGTGTTTATACATCACACATCTTTTACATAATTGGGATATTATATATACAATTTTACACTGATTTCTCAAATGTAATGTTTCTTGAAAATATTTTCTCTATTTTCAAATGAACTATAAAATAACACTTTTTAATACTAGTATAACATTGTCATCTACATTGGTCTTAATTTATTTTCAAATTTTCCCTAATATAAACTATGTAACGAACATTTCTTAAAATAATGTGATCTAAATTTCTAGATCTTTCTTTAGGACAGATAGCTAGAAATGTAATTATATGGTTAAAAGGTAAAAATATTGGAAGGTTCTTGAGCAACACTGTTTTCCAGAATGTTATGTTTAGAATATACACTTCTACCAGCAATACCTGAGAGACCACTTCATGCACATGTTAAATATTACCATAAAAAAACATGCTCTATCGGCTAGGTGACAATGGTATCTTATTATTTCAATTTTTATTTCTTTTTTTGCAAATGAAATGGAATGTCTTGCATTAGCTACTCAAAAATTTTTAAATGTGACTTGTTCTTTTCCTTTACTCATTTTTCTACTGGAGTGTTAGTGTTAGTTTTATGGTACAATGAACACTTTCTCCCTAAGAACCGGGCTACATTTCTTTTCTGCCCCCACATTCACACCCGAGGAAAACCAGTAGCCTTCTGCACACATTTGAAGGCATCGAGACGGCGTGGTGCGCTGCGTGTGCTTCATACCGGCTTTTTGTATTACATGGGGGATGCTGGGTTGGCTGATTCCAAACTCCCTCATTTCAATTTCTTCATTTATAAAATTGGCTAGTATCCATAAATTATAAACTCCATGAGACCAAGGACCCCCACCTATCTTATTTTGTTATATTCATAGCATAAGGTTGACACGCTTGGTAAGAATATGCCAAACATGTGAATAAGTAACTACTTAGCAAAAAAGTCCCAAATTAGAATGATCTGGAGTCTGAGACTCCTTGTCATTGTAGGGATCTCATCAAGCTTATGTATCCTATTCTAATTGGAGACTATGACAGGAAATTATTGACATCTACAGAATGGATTGCCAACTGGACCAATTTCCTTCTTTCTTCAATTCAATGGAGAGGTTTAATTCTACTTGCGAAGGCTCTAAAACTTCCCAAGATATTTATGTATTCCTAAATACTCCACACAATTCTAATACATACTTAACATGATTACTACACGCCCTGCCCATATTTCAAGAACTTACATGCTAACCACTCTACAGCTTGATATCCTGCAGTGTGCCTGCCATGTAATACACACTCACAGACATTCCTTCAGTGGACGAGTCGATCTCAAAGAGAGACGCATAATAAAAGGCAAAACTGTACAATAAGAGATGCACACAAAAGGCTTTGAAAAACATTAACTGCCGTACAATTTTTTTAAAGCCCATTCCATGGTAACAACCTCGTCATATAATGCGCCCTGTACATCCTCACTGCAAAGGGAACTTGGCTGACCCACAGCGTCACTATCTGCCCTGCAGTCCCCCGAAGTGGACACTGCTTATTCTTTCACACCCCACTTACGACGCAGTTGGGAAACGAGGTCAGAGTTCAACTGGCTAAGACTTTGCCAAGACTAAACTCCTGCATCTGTCTCTCATGCCATCTACCAAAATTCTGTTCAGTCCCTTATATTTATGAAACCTTCTATACTTTGATTTTTCTGGCCTTCCCATCATCCTGGGTGACTTCAAGGACTGGTTTTCTTCCCATCATCCAAACTGCCTATTTAAAATGGCTTTAAAAAATGACCCAACACGATGACTCATTTTAGCTAAAACATAAATCCGAGTACACCAGAGAATGGTGCAAATACTCCTCTGCTGATCAAAAGAGACTACCCATGATAATAAGCAACTTCATCTTCTACCATTCTCCACCCAACCCTGCCCTGTACACTCAGGTAACCAAGTCTTTTGTTTCTGGATTATAGTCTATTCCTAGAAAACTGCAGATGAGACTAAATTGCTCTTTTATGAACACGGCAAATTAACAATTTGCATACAATATCTTGTTAATCATACACATAAAAAGATAACTAAAGAGGAACAGGTGGTTTACTTTAATCTTCCACTAAAGAACTTAAACCTACATCCTTGGGGTACCACAAAACAACTGGTAAATGGAACAAAGACCCTTTTGTACTAAAAACCCATCAAATACTTTTTCCTTTTTCAAGGGAGCTTTCAAAAAGTCCACTGAGAAATTATTTTACGCATTAAGTCAAAAATTTGTTTTCCAATTGCATGTTCTCCCCTCATTCTATGACCCTTTACACAGCATTCTAAAGTCCAATTCTCCGAGTGTAATTTTCTGAGCTCTCACAGGCAACACAAAGAGTTTGGAGTATATTCAGGTAACTGTTTCTTTTCTCCCCTCAAAAGAAAATCAAATTGTCTTCAGTTTTTCTACCTCCATGGTCAAGATCACCATGCCATAGGGTAACTTGTACTCTGTTCTTTTCACGAGAAAACCTTTCCAGCTAGTGCTGTGAAAATGAATTCTTGTTTTTCAGGTCCATTATAGGACCACTTGCAATAGAAAGCTTTTATTTCTTTGACTTCGGAAATCAGAAGGAAACATTAATAAAATGTAGGTGCAACTTCATACCCTTTTAGGCTTCCATTATTCACAAATAACAAAGAAGGCTATTTTTGTACACTCTGCATTCAGATTTTAACTAAGCTCTAGCGTTGTTATTTAAAAGCGTGCATGTGACAGCCTGTCTCAGGTGCTGGGAACAGATTTGGGGCAGGCCTGTGCACTCGAGGACTGATACTCTGCAGCATCACTCCCGCTACCTTGTTACTCAGGGACGTGTCACTTTTTACCTGGGCTGTGTGGCCACAGCCCGCTCCTGGTCTCCCCAGGTATAAGCCATCTGACGTGTTCCAGAATAACCATTTTAAGGCTTTGAAGCATTAAAAGCAGCACACTGATGGAAAAAGTCAGTAAACTAAATTTAGCAAACATTTATTAACCATTTTCTTGTGCCAGACACAGAAAATAATGGTTAATAAGAAACGGTCTTTGCCTTTGAAGAACTCCATGTATTTTGCTTTTTGTTACTTTATTATTTATGATTAATTCTATAGACATTTACATTCTACCATGAGCCAGACACTATGTAAGGTTTTAGGATAAGATAAAGGATAAGAGATATTTAAAGTATATGTGTATGTATGTGTGTGTGTGTGTGTGTGTGTGTGTGTGGTTGGTGAGGGGGAAAAATCAATTCCATTTTTAATGTGACCACATTGTGGTAGAAAAAGATATATATGCACATAAACAATTGCAAAGCAATATAATTCATATTTCTGTTTTGCACTGAGGCATGAACTATAATGATACTGGTAAGTGATAAAATGAATGTGAGCTGAGGAAATGGCTATGGGGTTGAGACTAGGCTTAGAAAGAGGTTGAGGAAAGACTGATGGAATATTTTAATTACATACGTTCAGTAGGTTAATGGATATAAGGCCCACGACTGGGGAAAGATTCGGAAGACCCACCCGTATATGGGGAAGTAGTGGAAGCTATGGGGCAGGAACAGAGTCCTGGAGGACAACAATATTTAACCAGCAGGTAGGACAGTAAGAGAAATCCAGGAGGAAGGGAGGGAAACAGGAAGGAAAGCAGCAGTGATATATTAATCATTGTTTTCTGTGTCTGGCACAAGAAAATTCTTATCAACTGGCATATAAAAAAGGCTTGATATCACTAATCATCAAAGTGCAAATCAAAACCATAATGAGATATCACCTCCTATCTGTCAGGATGGCCATTATTCAAAAAAATAAAAAAGACATGTGTTGGCAAGGATGCAGAGAAAAGGAAACCCCTGCTCACTGCTGGTGGGAATGTAAATGGGGCGACACAGTTCCCGTGGAATCCAGCACTGCAGTAAAAATGAACCGTAGGATGACCAGATGGGCCCGCAAGTCCACCTGTGGGGACGCCCCAAAATATCTGAAAGCCGTTCTCAGACGGACATTCGTACACCCACGTTCACAGCAGTATTATTCATAGGAACTAAAAGGTGAAAAAAATCCAAACATCCATTGACAGAACCATGGATAAGCAAAATGTGGTAAACAAACACAATGAAGTATTATTCAGCACTAAAAAGAAATGAAATTCTGATAATCCCACAACATGGTTTAATGTTGAAGACATTATGCTAAGTGAAATAAGCCAGATACAAAAGAAAAATATTGAATGGTCCTACTTTTATGAGGTATCTAGAATTGCCAAATTCATAGAAAATAGAAGTAGAATAGTAATATCTAGGGGCTAGGAGTTTGGTGACCGAGGAATTATTGTTTAATGGGGACAGAGTTTTAATTTGGGACGATGAGAAGGTTCTGGAGGCAGACCACGGTGATGGGTGGTCACTGAGTGACCACTGAACTGTGCACTTAAAAATGGCCCAAACGGTCAAGTTTGTGATAACAACCACAAATCAGCAACAACAAGACCTAACCATTGTAAATAGACTCATTTACTTTTTCTCTCCAATTTGCTTCATTTTTATCAACAATATTATTATATGCCAATATATCAGCTATTTGATTAAACATTTATTTTCTTATTACAAAGCTGGTGAAAGAACATGACTATTTGCACTGTACTCAGAGCCGAACGGTGGTTCCATCTGATCCAAGTCAGTCCTGATTGCTTATAAATGGAATCAAAGACAGTCTTCCTCTTGGAACTGGTGAGTAGATCTCCACACTTTCCATTTTTTCCCTAGAAATTATTATTATGTTACTTTTCCTGCTGAGAAGTGGGCTTGGAAATTGGTGGTCATGAACAAGACTTTTTTCTGTTAAAAATATTTACCCTTTGGCTTTGATTGCTCACATTTGCAGGAAATTTCTTGTTAATAAAATGCTACAAATTCATTTAGACCTCGACTTTGAAAATTCTCTCACCACAGCTATTTTACCTGGGACATTTTGGTCCTATGACGAACCAGTTTGAGTGCTCGCTGTCTGACTACAGAGCCCCCCCCCAACCCCCAGCGTTCAGTTTCCTCCTTTCAACATCAGAGGAGCGACTCCTTCTCTGCACTTGGCTGACCTGCAGCTGCTCCCAGAGGCGCGCCCTGACTTGCAGTCTTTCTGAATTCACATATAACTTCTAATCAGTATCTTAGGACACCTTCTACCCTTCTTTAATTTTTCACTGATTTTACATGATGAGCATGACTCCCTTGGTAGTAAAATATACTATAATCTCAAAACGTATCTTTGAGTCAGTGGATTTAAAGCATAATTTGATTTTATAGTTGGTGAATGTGGCTCAATTACCTTCATCAGGTGTATAGCTACTTGATCTTGGGCTATATTTATAATCTTGTTGAAATTCAAGTTGAAGAAAGAGAAAAACTGATTTCCTTACTACCTCCTATGTTTTAACAAAAACCTCACTGGAATATTATATAACAAGTGTGGCAAACTTTTGGAATGGTACCAGCGAGAGTCTACGTACAGTTCAAACTCTGTAGTCTGGTGGAGTGGCTGGGTGCCCTTCAGTTGCTTGCTTTAAAATAAGCCCTCCTGCCCCAAGACATCCATTGTATATAATAAATTAACTCCTCTCCAACACATCTAGAATGGTACCCCTGTTGGGAGAACGGAGGGAAAGTCACCTGAACAGTTTGTGGATCCTGTTGTTCAAGTCAGCGGCCCTGGTGGAAAAGGCCTGCACAGTGACACCGACGTGGTTACTGGTTTGCTCTCTGGATGTGTCTCTGAAGGGGAAGGGCTCGCCTACCCTGGAACCCACGCCACTAATCATTATATCCATGACATTTTATACTAAAACTGTTTCTTAAGATAAGTATTTACCCCTGGTTAGATATAAGAAAAATAAAGCCAAGAGAGTTGAGTAAGTTGTGGTAGAACCTGAATTTGAACTCATTTCTAGCTCTGGAACCCAGTTCTACCTCTTTCCACCAGGCAACACTGCTGCCATTGGCACCTCTGGCCTTAGCTGGCAAGTAAGCAGTAAGATTCCTTTGCATTTTACAGACAGGACTTTGACAGTGATGATAATAATGGCTTACAGAGAGACACACTAAAAGCATTCTACAATGAGACAAGCTAATAGTGGCAATGGTCTGGAATAAAGAAAGTGCCAGTAAGGAAGGGGAGAGAATGACTCAGTCACCTGGGCAGAGACTGACTGGTTAAGAGGTGGCCGAGAGGGTAGGGAGAAGGGAAAGAAGAATTATAAACGATATCAAGTTGGCCATCACCACTTGAATAACTCGGAAATGTACATTTTCTTGGAGGTGGGTCAGTGGCATTATCTTTATATTAAAAAAAGCAACTAACAGTCACTTCTTCATACCAAAAAGTATTCTTGGAAAAGAACTGAAAAAAAAGAAAGCATTGTAAGAGTATTATCTAACATGAAGTGAAATTTAAGAATAGAAGAACTATAAAAATGTGAATTAATGGTCATAATCCTTACTACTAGGACAATTCTGGCAATTCTAGATCTAACCCATGATAAGAGATGGGTATTAAACTCACCAGAGGTGTAAAATATTTACCGGCCTAAAAATTAACCTGTCTATCCTCTTCCAAAGGAGATTCCAGGTAGCCTAGTCTCCAGGAGATCACATCCAAGCGGCAGTGTGTACCTCTTCTGTGGCTGCCTTGCACGTGGTCGGTCATGGTCCCACGGCTATCGGGCTCTCTTATAGAGTGATTACATTTCTCTCCTTTATGCCTATTAACAACTGTCATTTGTCCCACTCTCCTCCATGGAGCGTATGCTCTGCTTAGTACGCATTATAGTCTGGCCTACTTTCATCTATTACTCTGATCATCTTATTATTCATGATAAGGCTACAAATGGAAAAGTAGTTGGGAACATAAACTAACGCTGATGTGTATTAATGTATTCATACATGATCTAGGCATAGTAAAATAATATGGAAATATCTAATTAATGTACCTTTCAATTCTCTTCTTGTTTTCCTCCATTTTTTGATTTGCTATCTTTAACAGGAAGTCGATATAATCCTCCGTCACCATCAGTTTTCCCTTATGGCTTAATGGCACTTCTAAGCCATGTGTGCTCCGAACAGCCTGCAAGGAACGAACAATTTAGAGAGGAAGACTTATGTACTAGACACACTGAAAATAACTAAGAAAACCCCTAGTCAGGGTTGTGCTTAAACAGAGCTCAGTTCCATTACAGCATTTAGGTTTATGCTTTGATATAATTTAGCTAAACACAGTTGGATCAAAGGAGATTAAATAGATTTTCCCATCATATAAAGTCATTTCTAAAGAAAGTCATTCTACACATTGTGTTTTAGAGAAGCAGATAATATCAAAGAATCCAATAACTTTAACAGTTTCAATCTCACTAAAGCTTAAAAAGCTTTAGTACACTATTTAAAGGAAAGAAATAAATAAAATGGTAACAAAAGCTTCAAGGGAAAACCAAATTAACTGGATTCAAAAGAGCCTCTTCCTGCTACTTCAGCACAGTGTGGCTACGAGAATAAACCTTGGCTGCTCTACCTCACAAAGTGGCTGCTTTCTCAGTGCTTTCGGGTCAACCTTAGCAACCCTGTTGATGAAACAGTCAACATGTTACAAGTAAACCCAAACATGGTATATAGATTAAGAACAACAACAAAAACTATTGTGAAGAATAAAAATTAATTCAACAAACATTTACTAAGCACCTGCACTGTAGGCCCTATGTAAAGTGTGAAGATACAGGATGAATATACCATAGTCCCTTTAAGAGCTTACACCTTAGAATGGGAAATAAACATGTGAATGAAAAATTATAACACAACATGTCCTTGTGTGCACATGCACACACAGAGAAAACATTAAGGAAATGTTAAAGAGGTTCAACTAACTGAGACAGGCTGCAGCTTTACGGGAAAGGTGGCATTTGAGTTGGGACTTTAAAGGATAAGTGCAAGATTACCCGATGTGAAAACAGGAGAGAAACAATCCATAATCATGAAGACATGAAAGAACATGTAGGAATGAACTGAAAGTTTTCTATCTGGCTGGAGTGTAAGTACGCTAGCAGGAGATGAGCATAAATAAGGTGGATGGAAAATACTTTGAATAACACCTTGAATATCAGGGAAAATACTTAGAGACCCTGACTTTGCAGAACGTGGGATCATAACAGTGCAGTTTGGAGGGATGTAGATGAACAGAACAACCAAAAGACCAGCCAGGAGACCACTGTAAAGACTGCGGTGAGACAGAACAAGGGCTTAAGTAGAGGCAGTGACAGAAGGAACAGAGAGGTGGACTCAGGTGTGAGCAATTAGAGGCAGATATGATAGGACTTGAAACTGACTGAACGTGGAAGACAAAGCAGAGGAAGATGGAAGACTGGTTCTGTTCTTGCCGGGCCACCGAGTGCAGACCAGTACCATGGGCTCTGCCTTTCTACTTAATCATGCTTTACAGGGTTCTTCTTTTAGAAGCCACTTCTACTTGTCAAATAGGCTATTTGGTAAAAATAGATAGAAAGTAGGAAAGTCTAGGAAGCTAGAATGGAGGACAATCTGAAATTAATCCAAGGGCAAATACACGCCATGACAAATAGTAAATACAATCACTAAATACTGCAGCGGATCAGAATAGAGCAAAGTCACTAGGGATTGGATGGGCCAGTAAAAGACCCAGAGAGGATGGAGAATAAAGAAGGAGCTTTAAGAGATCATTCAGTCCAGAGGTCAGCAAACTTTTCTGTGAAAGGAGAGACAGTATACATTTTCAGCTTTGTGGACCACAAAGTATATCCCAGATACTTAATTTTGCCACTGAAACACAAAAGCAACCTTAAACTGTAATTAATCAAATGGGTGTAGTGGGATCTGGCCCAGCTGTGCTACAGCAGTAGTTTGCTGGACCTCTGATGTGGCTGAGAAAATTCAGACCCCAAGGGATTAAGTAGCTTGCCCAAGTTCATATAGCATAGCTGGGGGCCGGCTGGTATTCACACAGAGGGCTTTAGATCCCCTATCTATGATTCTTTTCATGACATCATGGTGCTTATTATTTTAGGGTTATGTAGAATGAAGAGGGCACAGTGGAGAATACAATACTATAAAATAAGACCTCAAATGTACATCTAACAGCTCTAGACTTTGCCTACTCTGAACTTTGCCCTGAAGGAAAATATAAGTCACTGAAGGTTTTTGAGCAAGGGAATGACAAGAAGATCTGAGTAAGGAGAGACTAAAGGCAGGACTCTAAGTAGAAGTCTAAATTATTTCAATAATCTGGATATCTTCATGCTCAAAGAACTGTCTTTGCTAAAAGGTATCTTACCAACATAGTCTTTCCTCTTTTTCCCACTGTTATGCCAGAGTTCCTGAAACCAGAATCTATTGCCACTGAATGCTGTAAGAAAATAAATTTGTTAAATTCTGATAATCTGACTACTCAGATAAACTGTTAAACTGTACAAACTGCAGAAACATATATAACACTCAACCTATAATTACATTGAAAACTAGTTGATTAAACTAACACCACATTGATTTCTGGTAGATGTTTTAAGGCGTAACTAAATCTATCCACATATCTATAATTTCAAGTATAATTACAAACTTTTACCAGAATCTGTGCATCTTGCAACTGTTGACACTGTACATGAAGAACAAGGGGTTCAAACTTCAAAACAGCATCACCATTCGCATTTTTCAGAGCTACAATCTAAACAAATGAAAAGTGCTCGTATCAGACACAAATATACGACCCTCTTCTTTGGTGACACTTTATGACATGTAACTTGTTTTCCCCAGGAACTTTTAGACTCCTGCAGCATCCTTTTTCCAAAATAACTTTGCACTCTTGTTTTCTTGGGCTTCTTTTGTCAGAAACTTATTAATCTGCTTATTCTTTTGAAACACCGGATTTCTAATTCTCCCATATATTCCTGCATCACTCTCTCCAACCCTATGTTAAAATGTAAGTTACTACTGTATTTAATTCCTTAACGGATTTTTCATTAAGGAATATGGTAGATAAAGACTGTACTAGAAGGTCTAAATACCCCACTGTTAGACTGAGGTTTGAGACACATGTACAATAGTCTCAGTGTCGCCCATGTATGAGGTGGAATTTATATAAGGCGGTCATTATTTCTGTCTGCCCCACAAACATCCCTAGGCAGCACACTCCCTCCTTCACACCATTTCATTTTCATGGGACTGTAAATCATGACCCTGTCACTTATCACTCCCACTATCATAATATCAAAGATGCCAAGTGCCTAGGTCTGATCAGGAATGGCATTCCACTCTATTGGCAAGAATAACTGATCTCAGGGGGAAGATCCTAACCCAAGCAGTATGATTCAGAGTCCTTCTTTGGGAATGATACATGGATCTTCAGAAGAAGTCTTTTCTGCGGGGGTTGCTGGTAGCTACCTTTCCTGCCACAAAGATAATCTGAAACAGAAGAGAGTTAAGGGCAAATATGCAGAGAGAACTAGGACCCAAACAAGGGGAGGGAGGTTGAATGAGTACTCTGAAGACAGTATTTGAGCACCTGAACCAGTAATGTAAATGCTTGGCTAATACAAACTTATATGAACTCATCTAAACACTTCGATTTAGGAAACTAAATAATCCAGCACAGACAGAAAAATTTTCAAGAAGCAATCCAGGTAAGTAATGGATAATTTATTTACATTAGAATGCTGGTAATAGTGCTAATCCTTTATTCCTGGCATCCTTTCTCTCCTTTTTTTCTACAATTTGTACTAGGTTGCACAGTTATAAAATGGCAGAAATGAAATTTAATCTTTGGATCCAATATGTCCAAAATCCTTGAACTCTCTGTTATGACCAAGAGGATGTGTTTTGTGAGCATTCATAGTAATGCTTGCCCAAATATTTCTGCTTTTATCTGTTACAACTCAAGGCCATCATAATGAGTTCTCTTTGGGCTTTATGAATAATCTTCACCCATTATAATTATGAACATAAATCACCTTGAATTTTCTATTGTTTTCATCTGTATTAAAAGTGACTGTGAATTAAAAAGCTTATTTCTTTAAATTTATAAATGCAAACTTACCACATCATCTTTTATACAAGGTTTGTGTGTCACTAGTAGCCAGCGACAGTTTTGTTTCTGAACCTCGAAGCCGTTTATACTCTAAAATGAAAAACAGCATAATCTAATTTAATCATATATGTACAAAAATATTAAGTACAATGCGTAACATATGGTCGGCTTTCTGAAATTAATAATCCCAAGTGGTGATTTTTAAGTATTACTAAGAACAATGCAATAGGTAGGCTTTCAGGTAACATTTACCAAAAACAAAAATGAAACCAGAATGCTCAAAATAGAAGGAAAAATACCGCGTGATTTCACGTATATGTGGAATCTGAAGGGGAAAATAAACAGAGAGCAGACCGGTGGTGGCCAGAGGGGAAGGCGAGTTGAAAGACTGGGTACAGGTGAAGGGAGTAAGTACAAATTTGTAGCTACAAAATAGTCATGGGGATGTGAAGTACAGCTTAGGGAATAGTCAACAGTATTGCAATAATTATGTATCGTGCTAGATGGGTACTGGAAATATCAGGGGGGACACTTTGTAAACTATACGATTGTCTAATCACTATGCTATGTACATGAGGCCAATACAAAGTAAGATATTAAAAGTAACCTGTAACTGAAAATATAATAATAAAAAATAAATTTAAAAATCTTTAAATGTGTTTACCAAAGTAAAAGGGCTTGATTTTGTCTGCAACATGGTCATGATTTTGGCAGGAGGAAAGGGATGACTCAAGGGTTGCACAGCAGCAGGCTCTGCGCTCTTCCCTGGCTGTTTTACTTGGCTGGCACAGTATGTTTTTAAAAAAAGAGTTGCTTTTGTAAAGCACTGCTTCCCTGCCACTTTTTTACTGTCACCTGAGTTATTCACACCTTTATACCTCCCTAGTTTCTAGAGGCTTAAGTTTGTGACTTTACATGTAGTCCCAAAGGGCAAAGCTAGAACTAAAAGGTCAAAATTTCAAGAAGGCAAATATTTAACATCAGATTCTTTGCTTATTAGCTGGAAAATGTCTATTTGCAAAGTTCTATCATCTATTTTTGGGTATACACAGATCTGACCCTTAGGGATACTAGAAAGAGGAAGCAGGAAACCATATGCACTTTTAAATCACTGTACTTCTATAAAGTGACTATTCATACAGTGTGTACACAGGAGACTTTCCTGCCTTGGTAATGGGAAGAGTTGACCTTGTCCTAAAAAACTGGTTTGATTTCATTCAGTCACCTCAGTGACTTTTGTATCTGATTTTATGCTAGCTGCACTAAATTGTAGAGCCAAATATGTGGCCCACTTCTGGATTTAAAGAATCTAGTGGTATGTTTGAGGAATTAATGTCATCCCTGGCTTCTATACTCCCTTTATCCAGATATTTCCATTCTTAGTTTTTCTTCTTGTATTGCTTTCAGGAAGGATCCAAATCCTTCCTGAAATAAGGCAAAATGAAAATAAACATAATACTCCCATAAGATAATAAATAAAATTTAGAAAGGTTCAGAAAGAGTCCTAAGGCAGTCCAGAAGCAGTTATTACCCCCAAGTGTGTGTGTCTGTGTGTTCAGGTGGAAGGGGAGTTTGGGGAGTCATTGCCTTATATACGCAGAGGTGGGGAAACCACTGCAGAAAAACAAACATGAGCAAAGACAAAGGCAGGTAAACACAAGATGAAAAAGGGAAGATTCACTTCCAGTAAATAAATAATGATGAAGGAGCAGAAAATAGGGTTGATCATCCAAACTCTGTACTAGAGTTGGATTTGGATATTCTGATGGTGAAAAGTGTGTAACAAAAGACTTCTGCCTGGATGAGTGACATCGACAGAGCTGTGCTTTAGAATAGTAAATCTATGAACAGTGTGTAACATGGTTTGAGGCAGAGAAATTAGTAGTGTAGTGACCTTTTATAAAACCATCGCAGAAATCCACCTAAAATCATGTAGCATTAATGGGGAAAGAGAGCAAGCCCAGCAGGAGTGCCACTGTTCTAAAGGCAGCAGAAGTAATATAAAAAGAAACAGGCTCTGCTAACCTGGGAGATCAGTGAGGGATCTAAAAAGAGGTTAGGAGCATGCTGTCTTTCCTGCTTTGAATTTAGTACTAATGCTAAAATTAAAAAACAGCTAACTTTTTCTGTGCTCTTAATATGGGCCAGGCACAACACTAAATGTTTCAAATAAATTACTTCATTTCCTCTACACCAGCCATTTTCAACCTTTTTCACCTCACGACACGAACCAATTAATAAAATGTTGAGGCATGCAAAAAAATACATTTTATGCAGATCTGACAGTAAATAGGTGTAATTTTGATTCATTCACACCGGGTTGCTATTGTTGTTTGACTGTTGTCCCTTTTTAAAATTCGACAATCTAAGGAAAAAGAGGTCAGTTTAAAAAATTCGTGTGGCACACCAGTGAGCCTTCCGCAGCACACCTCTCGAAAATCGCTGCTCTATACAAAATCCCTGCGAAGCTGATACTTTTATTATCCTCAGTTCACGAAAGAGTGGATGAGCTTACATAACTTTCCTAAAGTCACATAGCCAATAATTCCCAAAACTGGGTTAGAATTTAAGCCTTATCACTCCAAAACCTGACGGCTTGACCACTATCTCACACTACAGTATTGTACTTTTTCAGCCTAATGTAAAAATTACAAAAGCTGTAATAATGAAATGGGCCGCTAGGAGGTAGTAAACACCTTAACCCTAGTGAAGTTCAATCAAATAGGATCAGGTAGAGCGCTTGAAGTCACCAGCTTCCTCAGGCTGGAAGTTCTTTAAATTCCTGTAGTACTCAGAAAATCACATTCTTTCGCTCTTGCAACTCAAGACCATTCCCACGCCAGCAGCTTCGGCAGAATATCAGGCTTGACCTACAGAATCAGAATGTGTACTTTAAAAGATCTCCAGGTGATTACTAGACACATTAAAGTCAATTCACCCTCTTAAATTTCTATAGATAATGAAATTGAAACCGCCCACCAAAAAGAACAACACAAACAGGCTGCATGGAGTGTTACAGTGGGTGGACACACGGCTCCTGGTGTTCCCAGTACAAGGCAAGCGCTGGACGGGCTCAGAGGAAGCTCACCCCGTCTAGCAGGATGATACGGCCTGAGCAGGAACTGGTGGTAAAAAACTGTTCTTGCCCATTCAGGAGCTGTACAATCTCGGCCACATCCTCGTCCACACTGCCCTTACGGCTGAGGTCCGCTTTGCTCAGACACTGCGCCTTCCACCTCCCGAACTCTGAGCTACGATCCATGCGAGGAGGAATTTAAGGTTTAGACTTTCACAACAGCCCTCGCCTCTCCCCGGGGGCAGCCATATTGGAGCGAGTGGTGCCGAAGTGGTCCAAACTTCCTTACGGCCTCGCCGTTTTGAACTCGGAGATTCTCGCGTGGATTCCTGGGGGCGGGGAGATGCGCGCGAACGAGGCAGAATTTGTAAATACTGTAGGGGTCGAAGTCCGCCCCTTTTTTCTGTGGAATCAGTGGGAGCCCTCGCAGATTTTGATTCCCCACTCTAGAACAGGGTAAGTGGTTTTAAAACAGCCCCCCCTACCTGTTCAAGCCGTACATTTCCACGGCGCTCGTCCACACTGAAACGAACTTGATTTTGGCGGCGCTGCTGGCTACGCGCTGTACTAGCGAATGAGTTGCTGCTAGCCACTGTCTTTACCCTCTAGGGGCTGCAAGCTCCTCCTCCGTAAATCACCTGGGGAGTTTTACCGTCTGGCCTGAGTTCCAAGCTTTGATTTAGTAGGAAGTGCGTTTCGGCTCCACACCGTGGGGTGCCCGTTGGCACTGTCCCTGCATCGTCTTCCTCACCAGCCGCTAGATTTTGGGGACGGCCGGCGGAGGTTTGGGGGATTCTTGCTGCTGCGCGCGTGTTTGCTGCGTCCCCCTGCCCACCACCCATCTAGGGGAGTTGGTTTGTCGTCGGTTCCTGCAACTGCACGGGGCCCGGAGCTCTCTGTGGCTGGCCTTTGCTTTGCCATCAGATATGCCACTTTTGAAGAGAAATGTGTAGAGTTTTTTTGTTTGTTTGTTTTTTGTTTTTACCTTTTCCATCTGATCACCCTCACCTAGAATAATCTTTAAAAAAATTACAAAAACACCCAGTTAACAGATCGTTGGATGTTTACACAGTTCTTCCAGGATACTTATCTCAGTGACCACGGAATGCGTGTTAATGATTGAATCATTTAAAGGCTAAAGTTCAGGCTGTTTGTGGGCAGCTAGTGGATATGGCTGTGTAAATGCCTCGGCAGCAGCAGCAAATCCCACCGAGCTCTGCTGCCCAACCCTGGAGAGCAGATTGCCCAGTTCCATCCAATCTGCATCAGAGGACCTGGAGAGGGTTAGAATTATATAGTCAGTAACTCCTCCACCCTCTCTTACCAAAATTGTGCACTGAGGTCCAGAACAGCAAGCAACCTGACGAGGTCACAGCCAGGAAGAGACTCATCCTTGGCCACTTTTAATTTTTTAAATTTCTTCTGCGTTAGGAGTAGTAAATAATATGATTATACGAGTCCATCTTGATGAACAGCAGCACATTATATAACAAGTGATTCTCTTTCCAAGTTTTTATTATTTTATTTCTTGCCTAAAGTTTTTATTTAACTTCTGCTTTTCTCTCCAAATGTGACTTTGGTCTGGCTTTGTAAATTGATCCATGTATTGCATATTAAAATACATTTCTAATATTTTCTCTATTCCTTTAATTTTTAGAAAATAAGCTTCTAAGATTTTTCTCTTTTATAAATAACCTTCCTTTTTTTTAAAAAAAATTTACTTATTTATTTTTAGAGAGAAGGGCAGGGAGAGAGAAAGAGAGGAAGAGAAACATCAAGGGGTGCTTGTTTCTCCTATGCCCCCCATTGCAGGCCTGGCCAGCATCCCAGGCATGTGCCTTGACTGGGAATTGAACCAGCAACCCTTTAGTTCACAGGCCAGGTGGGTACTCAGCCATTGAGCCACACTAGCCAGGGCTCTCCTTTAATTTTCATTTAAACCTAAAGGATTCGAGTGTAGCATGGAAAGAATCACTATTTCAGGAAGAATTTTAAGTTCTGAATGTCCTAGATTTGCAAAGTTTGGCTGGCAATGTTTCATAGATTAACAAATAAAATAAAAATTAAAACTAAGTTATTCTTGGCGAAAAATTTTAAAAGTTTATATTCGAGAAGTGGAAAAACTTATTTGAAGTGCAGTTTAATTTAGAAAAACACAAGCAATGTGGCAGAACTGCTGACTGCACATGATTTACTCAAAATAATAGAGCTTACTACATGCTAGGGGTACTGTGGTGTACTCACCATCTGCTGCTGCTGTTAACCTTCATGAGGATCCTATGCTTGGGAGTATTGGGCCCATTTTACAGATAAGGAAATTATTATTTTTCCTAATAGAATAATGCCATGTATGTTTCTATTGGGTCCTCTAACTTAAGGGCATTTGACATATTTCAAATGGTAAGCAGATACCTTGGTCATAAAATACATAATCCTACCTGGAGTTTAGTTGAATTTCATATTTCTAACCCAGTCTTTCTATCAGCATAATAAAGTACATTCCTAAGAAATTAAGGCTCCTTTCTGTGAACATTGCAAAGGGTGAGGTGAAAAGGATTGTATAGGAAGGAAATGAAATCTTAGAGCAACATCTAGGGTGTGGCTCTTTGGTTTTGTGTGACCTTGACCATTCTCTTTTCCCCTTAGAATGTTTTCCCGTCCATAAAATGGATGGGGATTTTATTTCCACTTCTGCATACAGTGTTAATAACTGTTGCTTCTCTGCCCATCGTGAAAATAAGTGCATCAATGGATGTGAAAGATGTGCTTTTTAGAGGAAATCAGGTATTGCAAGGTTTTAAGAATTAATTCTAGTTGCAGTTTGTGTGTTATTATATTCTTTTTATTATACCTTCTGACATAGCACCTGTATTACAGAGCAGATCAGGACCCTGTGGGTAGCTGAGGGGGTTCAAACACAAGGAGTATTGATTGGATCCTGATGTCATAATGGCAAAAGCTCAGTGGGAAATAAAATGGCCAGAAACAAAGTAGAAGACAGAACTGTCAAGGTCATGGCTGTCTCCTTACAGGCACCACAGGATGATATGATAGTTTGGGTCCAGGCAGGGTATCTTCTAAATCCAGAATTAAGTATGAGTCTCCTCCTTGCTTTGTTCTTTTCTCCCAATTTAGCAAATGTCAAAATGTAAGGGGAAACTATATGGGCTAGATATTTTTGACAGATTCTATTTCAGGGCAATTTTGCTTTTATTACTGCTACAGTTTTTTGAGGATAGTGATGTCTGTTGGTGAGCAGACAGGTGTGAGGGCTTGAAAGAAATGAATAGGTAGGAAATGGGTAGATACTAAATGTGGAGAAAGAGCTCCAAGTCCTACATGGTGTGTGTGTACACGTGTGGGAGAGTGGGGGTGTGCAGGAGCCGGGGAAGGGGGGCTGAGGCATTTTCTCTCTGCCCTTTGTGTTCTCTGAGGATGGTGCAGTGCCTCCCTTACAGTTAATGTTCGAAAACTAAATGTTGAATGAATGACAGCCGATATTTGGTGTTAATATTTTGTTTAAATCATTCTCTCGACTGTGAACTCTTTGGGGCTAAGGATTTGTTTTTACAACCAGAGCCCTGTAAATATTGTTTTGATAACTCAAAGATGATTATAGAACTTTAGAATCAAGAATATTTTAATGGAAACGCAATTGGAAAGGAGAAAATAGGTGGGAGAGGAATAATGGCATCATCTATACATGGGAGTAAACATTGGCCAGGTTCTGTAGCTGACGCTTGCCATGTCTCTACCCCGGAGTGGGAGCCCTGACTTTAGATGAAGAGGTTGAAAGAAGTCAGCTGCCTTACCCAAGGCCACATAGCCAGTCAATGATGGAGCTGCCATTCATACTGAGAGCTGTCAGATTTCAAAGCCCACACCTTTCCTAACACAATGCTGAAGACAGAAAGAAAAGAAAGTTGTGTTCTTACTTCCAGAACGGAAAACCCTGATCTAGATGACTTTTTCCTTATTTTATTTTCTTTATATTCTCAGTTTCTTGTCTAAGAAATGCCCAGCCTGAGTGAAAATAGAAGCATAGTGGCAAGACCACAGAGTCGTCTCTGCACAGGCCTTCTCACCCTCAGGGACGGCAGAGCTGCCCCACGAGCTGCTCTTAGGTTTCGGCCTTTTGCCTGCTTCTGCCCCCTCTTATGAGAAGGCTGCCCTTCAGGATTGTGTCATTGCTAAACAGCCTTTCAGCAGTGGAAACTGCTTTCTCCTCTGTGCTGGGTACAATATTAAATCATGTGAAATAAAGATTTTTTAAATGACACAACTTTTGGCCAATTACATTAAGAACTTTCCGTTAATAACACCATCAACATGCGTACGATCACCCTCCCCCATCTGTGGAAAGACATCTTACAGTTAGCATGGACTCTGCTCTGAGTAGCCCTGTGCTGAGCTTCAGTACATGTAAGAGTCTGAATTCTTTCATCTCCAGTCCTCGTTTCTGCAACTCTTTTTGGGAAAATGACTCTGAGTTTTCATTTTAACGTTAACAGTGCTAGGACAGAAAGGTAGGAGAGTAACTGGAAATTACTCTTGTAATTTATAAAAGAAGGTTTGCAAAGCAGTGTTTTAGTTTTCGATGTTTTTTCTCCTTTTTAAAGAGAGTGAACTTCATAAAGCCAAGTGTTTTGAATCGATAAATCTCAAAAACTTAATGCTAAGAGGAGAAAGCAAGCTGCAGAATCAAGTACAGCGTGATCCAGTCTAACTAAAGTTAGAGCCCTGGTTGGTGTGGCTCAGTGGATTGGGCATCGCCCCACAAACCTGAAGGTTGCTGGTTTGATTCCTGGTTAGGGCACATGCCTGGGTTGTGGGCCAGGTCCCTGGTTGGGGGTGTGCGAGAGGCTACTGTGGATGTTTCTCTAACACATCAATATTTCTCTCCTACTCTTTCTCCCTTCTTTCCCCTCTCTCTAAAAATAAATAAAGATCTTAAAAGTAAAGTTTGAAAACATGCAAAAAAGCCTAGCATATATTGTTTGGTAATGTATCCACATGTAGTAATGGATAGCATCATGCCTGGGAATGATGAGCACCAAGTTTATGGTAACAGTTACAAGTTTATGGTAAACCCTTCCTCATGGAAGGGTGGGGCAGAAATGGGTTTGGGGATGGGTACCAGAGGCTTGTAATATCTGTAATGTTTTAGGTTTTTTAAATGTTAAGATTTGTTAAAGGTGGGTGGGAGATGAATGTGTTTATTATAGTCTTTGTAATTCTTTATGTATTTGAAATAATTTAACAAAAGAAGATCTATTTATTTAATGTTACTAAAACTTACATTAGCTCCTAAAG